GTACGAAAGGAAAAGAAGGAACCGGCTAGGAGATGAAGAGGAAGCAGTTTAAGTTGGCGGGAGTGTTAGTGAAAAGGCGGACATTAAGGCGTCAGACCACGTCTTGTATGCATCCCCAGGGCCGTGGATGAGGTATCGTCAAAAAAGGAAGGCGGCACCTGTAAATCAGTGTAATCGGTGACCTGCCCTGGAAGTACATTAGAATAATTTATGGTCGGGCCCGCTAAGACATAAAAAGACGTCGTGTTATCCGCCAGAGTTTCTCTCACTTCTCCCCCGTATCCTTTCCTGGCGCCGCGGCGCGATAAGCGTCCTCGCGTTCGATTCGACGCCGTACGCACGCGAAAGCGCTTTACGCGCTTTTTACCGCTTCATTTCCACCGTGACGTTATAAGGGGCCACACGCTCGAGAATACGTCACGGCGGATATATTTCCGCAAATGCAAATGCACGTCGTTCCTTCACGCCGCGGCGAGATCTCGAGCCGTTCGAGAAACGGTTCCCCAGTGAAATTAAAAACGTCATAAAAATCTTAAACGATGTCGCTGGCTGGAGAACCGCTATTTGTTAGCCTTATCTCTCGCTTGTCTCTCTTTTCGTGGCGGGCGTCGCTCATTAGAATTCCACGTGCGTCGACGGGACAGACTTAGAAAAATACATGGGAAAAATTCATACAATGGAAAGAACCGGATACTCGTATTCCGCGGGGCACAGTTCAACACAGGAGGCGGGAAATAATACGTTTCACCGGCGTGACGTCGAGTTCCCTCGCGCGACATCGCTCCAGTTACACACTGTGTTCATTTATATATTCTCCGAGGGAAGCGTCGGATCGTGTGCACCGTCGATTCGACGAGAAACCCCGAACCCGGGAGGGGGGAGGGGCAGAGAAGGAGTGCGGGTGCAGTCTCCGCAGCAACTCTGTCGAGGTTTAAAGCGTTACCAAGGAGACTTTCGGGGTGTTTGGTTGCCAACCGGGATACGGGGAATGCGTCTGACACTCACGAGTTTCATAGATCCTCGAGAGCTGGTGGCTGAGGGTGCACGCTCGTTCCCAAGTCGATCGCAACTGATCGAAACTGGACAAGTAAAACTTGGTCCGAACTTAACTTACGCCCGCCACAGCGCTCGAAACGAACACGCGAAGGAGACCGCAATCGTTCGTTCTATCCCGTTCACCTCCCACTTTCGACTCGATAGATTGGATTGACGTTTTGATCCAATTAAAACGCGTTAGTTACACCGACCCCCTTCCCCCAAAGGGAAGAAGGGAGGACTTTATCGATTGCGGAGATGTCGCTCGCTCGCCTCGTCGTATTATGTTGATTCGCTGATTTCGACAGCGTCTCGATAAATAATTCCGCGTACATCGCAAAGCGGGTCAATCGATATTCGAAGTCGCGGGCTGCCGGCGATCTCCGCTGTGCCTCGCTGTTTTCCACGCGGAAATTTCACTCGGCTCGGCTCGGCTCGGATCCTGCTCGTTGGAAAATATTAAAAGGTACCGAGGTTTGCCTCTTAGGTCGCGGTCGGCATAAACCACGCGGGGAACGTGCACACACAGTGAATCTCACGGGAATGAGATTCATGTGGCCGCATTGGGTCAGAGGATTAGGCAGCGAGCGTACTCGCCTGGAATTTCCTGGCCGTTCGAAGCTACCGCCCGATGTCGCTTCTCGACAGGGCAGATTCATACGTTCTCCTCTGAACTCGGATGCGTTATCCCCGCTGGCTTCAAGGGTCATTTTTATCTTCGCCTTATTCGACGGCTGTTCCTCCATCGGAATATCCCGTTGCGTTAATAATAATACTGTTCCGCGTGCACGGATAATTGTTTCACGGCGGAATTCTCGGAGACTTGACTGATTCATCCTCGTTGAAGCTTGATAAATAAAATGCAATATGTTTGTGCTCTTTGACGTTTCGTTTTGTCACCGAAAGGACACAGGGGTTATTTCGGAACGTCGGAATTTCGAAATTTAATCGAACGACGGAAAAGTTAATTTCGAAAATTCACTGATTCTATTGTCCGTGACTCTCCCATCACGTCGCGAGTTAATTGACTTTCTCGCAATAAATAAAACTTCACAGTTCGAATAATTAATGGAGATTTCTTTTCGACAACGTTTCTATTTCTATAAATATTTTAGAACGATTGAAACGAGATGAAGAAACGAGATGAGACAACTTTTGTTGAAAGCCGTCTGAAATTCAACGAATATATGTGTGTTTTTATATGCAAATATTTGAATATTCGAAGAAATAGATTTTCAGTTGAACAAACTAACTGATGATCTTCTCTTGCAAATAAATAAAATTCTATTTGTAAAGAGTTAACGATCTTCCTCTTTTTTTTTATCATATGAAATGATTAATTTTCGTAAATAAATACATTGAAAATGAAACGGAGAAGGAAAATACGTGTTACACCAATCAAAGTTTTATCTCAACAAAGGGGAATTCAAGCACGGTAAAACCTATCTTCGTCAAACAGCCGGCTGAAACCAAGACAATGTCTTACTTGTATCATCCCACGGCAAATATTTACCCCGTTCCCCTTGAACCGTTCAGTCAGAAACCACAGCGAGTCATTGCGAATCGTGACTAATTCAATTCGATTAATCGGTGGCTCGTTCTCGTTTTCTCACACGACTGGCGGCACTCGAATCAGCGTCCTCCCTGCTGCCGCGTATCCTGGTGTAAACCGAAGCTCTCTCTCTCTCTCTCTCTCTCTCTCTCTCTCGTTCTCCTATTGACACGTCGCGACTTGGCGTGTCTCGTCAGCCGTGTTTGCTGACGCCGCGAGCGTTTCCAGTAAGTCGATGATTCCGCGACGCGTTCATGAAGACGCTGCTGCGGAACGAGAGGCGAAGACGATACGAGATTCGCCAAGTACGCAAAGCCTTCGAGGAACATCGGCTAAATCGGATTACCTGTTGAGTCGTGCCGCTTGTTCGAACCAGGTGTTCTGTATTTTTTTTTTTTTTTTTTTTTTTTGGCTTTTCTAGCTTTTCCCTCGCGTTCGAGCCCCTAGGATATTGGAATTGTATGATTAAAATTGTCCAAATCGATCAGTTTACAATAAATTCACAGTTATTTTTTTCTCCTGGGCAATTTCACTTTTTCGCTTTTGAATTTTCACTTTTGGCGGCTCGAACGATTTTTGGTCAAGTATCGTTTTATCTCTTGCATTTTTTATTACTATATATATACATTTTTTTTTCACATGCTTTCTCTGGATTGTTCTACTAGCTTGTACCACTTCTGTTGTCCAAACGAAAAGTCCTCGTGGTAGATTTTGTCGATTGGCAACTGCAGATCTGTCTATGAGTCCCTGAACACTACGATTTAAGTAAAATAATTTCAGGGATGAATGTAGCGATTTCATCGCGGCTATTTACATGTCCGTGAAAATAATAATCTGCTCATCGTCAGATCAATTCGTTACGACTGGCGTGCAACTGCAGTTAGATCGCTGGACGAGCCACGATAAGAGGAAGGGAATCGAATGCACTTGAACAGAGGGGTCTGCCACTAATGACAAAGCGGCAGCCAGTGCTCCAGGTGAGAGTCATCGGAAGCTACTGTCGTTCGAAACTGTTTGACGACTAATGAGAGTAATGAGAATCCCGGGAACGGTCACTCTCATTCGAATTGCGAAAACGGGCCTCCGGCCTGGCTGAGAAAGAAGAGAGCTGTGATAGGGACTAGGGCAGAGAGGGATACTAGGGAAAAGAGATCGAACGGTCAACAGGGAGATCCCCCGTACGGCAATTTAAATTGCGCCAGATGGGTACCTGCACTGCAGGATTTCATTGCTCGGCGTTCTTTTTCTTGCGACAATTGCGAGTGGAAATTGCGGGCTAGATAAACCGGATTCGTTCGTGTGCAGCCTGCTTCCTCTTTGTTTCCACGCTTTCTCCCTGCCCTTTGCCCCGTTCGCTGCACGCTTCACCTCCCCCCTTCATTCTCTCCTGTTTCCAAGAAACACGCCGCGACTACTAATTGTGCTTTAACAATAAACCCATTATCGATACAGCTGATCGGAAAGTTGAAAAACGGCAAACGAGCGAACAACCGTTGATCGTTTTTATCGGAATGAAACTTCTGCCGAGCTTTAGCCAACGAAACTGGTTATCCACCCGATATCCACTGTAATCATCTTCTTCCTGCCCCGATACTATTATAAAGTTCTTTCGAGTACATTAGCGAGCGGCTTGTCCATTTGCAACGCAATTTCACGACTGCATTGGATCGTGCCCACCAGGTTGATGCCCGTTAGGTAAAATAGATCGTACCCCGAATGAATCATAAATGCATGCGATTAACAGAGTATCCTAGCAGGTGAGTAACAAGACGAATTTCGAATTTTTCACTCTGCATTTAAATGTTAATACGTCTTCAATGAGACTATTGCCAGGTATTTTTGACAACTTTCCAGGCCATCTCTCAAACAAGAGATAAAGCGATTAATAATTGCACGTGTTTCTAAATTACTACTGTCTGTAATTTTGTCAGCATTTTTTTTTTTATATTCTTTTTTATATACATCATTGACGTATTTTAATTTTCGGTCTGGGCCTCTGTATTAAGAATATTAACTTGAGCGTTATTTCTTTCATTTATGATCTTCATAATTGGATGAAAAAGATACTTTTCTATATTCTTCCCAATTTCATTCAGAATGAGCGTCAAACTACTCTGTGTTCGGTTAGTTGCTTCAAAATATATCGTACACGCAAATTTACCTTTCGTCTTCGTTTGAGCTACATTCCTTTGACGCTATCTTTTCCAAAAGCATCTTTATATTCACGTAAAATTCAGGATTTTATTTCAGCAAGCTTCACGAAAAAAGAAAAAAGAAAAAAAAAATTGAAAATATTGTAGTAAATCATGGTTTGTTTGAATTATTGTAAGACATTTCTGAGATTCCTTTTACATTTCATTTCCTCCGTTTAATCGGAAAAATTGAGAAAAGAAATTTCATCGCGTCTTCGCGCCCCTTGCCCAATAGGATTGACGATCTATTCGCAAACACAACTTGACAACGGTGAAATTTTGTCGAATCCGAAGGCGCAGTAGACAGTCTGCGCGGCATACGCGACAAATTCCATTGGTTTAAACAGATTAAACCTGAACCCCGGTATTCTGAGAATCGTTGTTAAACTTCATTACACAGCTAGTTTAACGAGGGATATAATTATCCAGTCCGGGGGGTTTGATGTAAGTTTAAAATTTCCAGTGGTTCGATGCTCATCGGGACAGGCGGCTCTGTAAGCCGGCGCGCGGCCGCTTCAAACTTCGTTGCAGCATCGTTCGAAACTTTCTGCAACGCGGGCCATTCGATAACAAGGTATTGAGTTTGCTGGTCAATGCCGCTATCGCGTTACACGCT